TAAAGGTAAACCTTTTTTTCTTCTTCTATCAACACCTTTTTTACATATTTTGCCTTCATTTTGTTTTTCCATTTTCCATGCAAAACAAGAAAACATGTAAACAAATGAATATTTTATTACCTGACTCGAATTTGGTTAACTCTTGAGATTAATTAATTGCAATTAAAATGACATGTTTACTCAATAAAGTTGACCGTTTCTTTGCTCAATACGATTGAATGAAAAAAAAGAAAAAGAAACTTTCATTTTTTTCTTCATTTCTTTTTTTTCGCTGAATAACGAAAATCCAGAATTTTTTCATTTCCATTTTGAGATAACATTTTTATGTACCTTTTATAGGATCAAACGTTATCAGATTCAATATCATTTAAATGGTGAAACTGATAATTTTGATAACTTTTTTACTTCTCACAAAATTTGGGTTTCATCATCAGTTTCATCATTCTTATCGTAACCAGGAACTTTCGTCTCTGGTTCAGTCTTTTGCTGTTTTTCCCAACCAATCCTGGTTCAACCTTAATTTAAACCAGGATTTGGTTAAAGTCTACGTTTCCTTCCGTTCAGGATAGACGAATGTTCATTTTCATGTTTTGCTCTATTCTTTCATTTCAACAATTAATAGCTAATTATCAGTGAATCGCCAATCTATAAAAGCTGATGTCATGAATAGTCAAAGTTAGTTTAAAGCTAAAGGAAACAAAATGATTACTTTGTTATTCAAGTTTGGCCCGAGGATAAATTGAAATATTTAATAAATAGTCAATTGATTCAGGTTAATATTGCCATTAATTTAATCATTTTTTATAATCTTTTTTTTACCCGTTTTCTTGACTCACAATTAAATGATACTTTGAAAGTGTTAATTTCCTGCAACAGATACTTTGTCTTCTTCATTAACCTCATGAAACAACAATGAGAATCGAGTGTAAATCTAGTTTAATCTTCAATTCTGATGAGAGGAAAGAGCCAAGGAAAAGGGTTTTCATGACAGAATCTTTTCCATCTTTTGGTTTGACCATTTCTCACGACAACAACAGTCGCAATTACCAGAATGATGAGCTTCAAGGCTTCATCTTTTCTTGCATCAACATCAACTCTTTACTCTCATGGTCAGTGAACAAGGCTTGACCCAATTTGACTAATCGACTAATTATCTTCCGGATTATCATTTATTGATTAATCAATGAATAACATTCAAAGTTGCCATTTGGTTCTTTAATTGTTCATTTTGACTTCTTTTCGCTTCTTCTTTAGTCGATTGTTAACTTGTTAATTTAATGTGTGACCATTAACAAGCTATTATAATAAGGTTTAATTAACGGTTTTGAATGAAGATTGAAGAAGCCTGAGGATAAATTAAAATGTTAATCCATCATTGAAAGTTTGCTACCAAGTGAACAACTTGAAACACTTTTTTCTTGCTTCGGAAACTGGCCTCAGTTTATCCTCATCTCAAGCTATTCTGGTTTTTTTTGGATGAAACTTTTGTTGCTACTTTAGGTGCAAGTTAACAATGAAAGGCAACAAAAGAGGAAAAACTAAATTAAAACTAATTAAAAGTAAACTTAATTGTTTTCCAAAAACATAGCAAACTCTTGATTGAAAACGAGAAAAGATTCAATCTCAATTGTGGTTTGGTTCGTCAACATTTTTCCATGTGTTTTCTTGGCTCACAATCTGAGCTTTGAAATGATAATTAAAGGTTAAAAGATTAATAATCGATTTGGATGATTTTTCAATAAAAAAATGTTTTCTTTTAACATTTTTGTCACGTTATCATGTTTCAGGCAAATTGGTAGGAAAATGAAGAAGAAGAAGCCTGAAGATTCAATATTTTACTTCTTTGAACCTCATTTTTACCTTGTTTTTAATCTAATAATAGTGAATGCAATTTAATGTGATCTAAATGAACTTTCAATCTGTTTACCTGAATAATTATTATCCAAATAAATTTTATTCTCAATTGCGATTCTGAAACAATTTAAATTCCTTAAGGGTTAAGATGCTCAAGCCCAGTATTTAATGAGTAACCTCAACCACCCCTTCAACTCCCAGTTAATAGTCTGAATTTAAGCAAATTGGCAACAATTAAAAGAATGATCGGCAAAATTGAAATCATCATTAATATTTGCCGAGTGATTGATTGATGAAGATTAATTAATCGAAAAGGTTAACCAAATGATTAATTGTAAAATCATTTTAATTCTCATCATTGGATTGGCTTATTACAAATGATGAAAAGTTAATTCAGTGAAACTTGTTCCTTGAGTGAAGAGGCCAGCAAAAGGATAAAGACTTTGCTCTTGACTCTTGTCTTCTTAATCTTTCTTCATCTTCTTCTTCATCTTCTTCATCCTTTTGCTCTTTCCTTTTTAGTGTCAGTTGAACTTGACCAACACCAAAAAGTTGAGTGACTGTTATTCATGTGGACCTTTTCTGTCAATAAAAGGGTGACTCTCTTCAGGTTTGGACAACAATTATCTGCTTGTTTTGCACCAACAAGGAATCACGAGAAACAAAAAAAGTGACTTTGTTTCTTGACCGATCAGACTAATCTCAACTTTTTTTTCCCAAAACTATTCATCTTTAATCATATCGCTTATCAGTTTTTGGAGACAATTGCTCAAGTCGAGTTGAGAGACTGTAAGAAGCAAAAAGAGCAACAACAAGAATAAGGATAAACCTTACGGGCATTTTTATCGAGACTTTGCAAGAAAATGCTTTTTAGAAGAAAAAATTTCTCTCTCTGTTGGTCAACATTTTTTTTACTTCATTACGGTCCAATGCATTTTTAAAAAGTTTACTTCAATTGACCAAAGACTAAAGTTACAAATGTCAATTCAATTTAACAAGAGACACAAAGAAAGAGAGAAAAAAAGAAACATTCATTTTCCCTTTGGTTACCTTTTCCAAAATAAAACAAAGTGGACATTTGTATTGACAAGCTCATTTCAATTTCAAGTCATTTCTCAATAGATTAGATTGAGTAATGAACGTTCAAAAGTTTTATCATCAAAAATACTTTGATCTTGATTGTCTTTGAATCAAAAAAAAACCTCATTAGTTAACTCAAGTTTTCACCTTTAAACAGCGATTGCTGTTATCTTGAGTTTCTTACGATAATAATGCAAAATAAACTGATGATTAACATCCAACATTCAACTGTGAATCAGTTTTCGAGTCAGCCAACCATAGAGTTTAATCCTAACCTAACGTAACCTAGCCTAAGCCTGTGACTTTACTTTTACTCTCGCTTGTCTTTGGATTAGTTTGACTCGATTTGAGTTTTCAACTTTAAGCCGTTATCAAATCTGCTCCAGTTTATGTTAAAATAATGAATGGGAAACATTCAACTGAGGATCAGTTTTCAATAGATCTCTGAGTCAACCCAAAGAGTTAGGTCTTGCCCTAACCTAACCTTACCTAACCTAATCAAGTTCAAACTGTCACTTTACTTTATCAGAATTTATTTTTTCTTTTTTTCTCTAAATTAAGATGTTAACTTGATAGTTATCTGTAACCCAATTGGCGATTATTAACTAATAAATATGATCTTAGGATTGGTTGTTTTAAGGGAATCTCATAAATTATCAAAAGGCTTTTCTGTTAATATTAAAGTTTACTGATTATTGGGTGCTTTAATCATCACCAGAAAAGAAATATTTCATTCTGATTTATTAGATGTAATCAAAGTTAAGGTTTAATTTACTCAGATTCACATTGATTATAATAGAGTTTGCTTCAATGTTCACTTAACTAACTTCTTTGTGTGTTAATCATTGAAGTACAATTACTTTTTGACCCTTGTTAATCAAAGTAAGCAGCAAGCAAGAAAAACTGAAGCAAACAAACTAAACACTGTAATTTACCTTGAGGCTTGTTAAATTGTTTGCTTCTTTGTCCAAAATATGCTATTTGCTTCCTTAATTGTGTTAACAGATTTAACATTTTCTTTCTGATTCATTCAACAATTGATGGGTCAATCAATTTTCAAAAATGAAAAGCAAAAAGTTTCACATTATTCAAGACAAAAAATAACTGGTTAAACATGAACATTAAAACAAGCTAATCATGTTCACCATTGAAGTTAACCATTTGATTAAAATGAAAAAACTCTAATCATGAAAAGGTCTTGAAAATTTGTCAATTTGAAACTCGTTTTGGCGTTAGAAACTTGATTGCAAATTGTTATGAATCCATCAATAATCAATTACTTTTTGACACTAATTTATTCCCAACAATCGATCATCATTTTGCCATTAATCGCACAAAAAAAGTGTTAACTTTATCAACTCTTAATGCATGGGGTTAATTAAAGCTTCAATTTTGATCTCATTTTCAACATTTTTGTTTCAATTTAATTTCAATTGCAAATCATTGATCAATCGTTAATATTCACTCAAAGGCAATCAAAATTATTCCAGATTTCACTTGATTGACAGGAACCTTAAGTGTTTCCATTTCTTGCAAGTGCAATGAAATAAATGCAGCAAAAAACTGTCAACATTTAGTGAATCAATTTGAATTATGATTGCGAGTAACATTGAAAATGAGCAAATTATATATTGAAACAATCAGATGAGATGATAGGTGTTAAATGTGATTGTTTCAATCATCCATTTGTTGCTCATCTCCTCCCAACTTCATCTCAAGTAATGAAAACAACGTTAAAGGTAAACTAACTTTGCGTTTACAAGCAACCTGTCAAATTGTTTTTATCCTAATTGACTGGGCCAAGGTGAATCAATCAATAGTCTATAGCAACAATCAAATGGTTAAATTGATTAACAGAAATTAATTTAGATTAACCTGTTAACTGTCTCATGTTTTTTACTCAATGTTTTTCCAATATTTTGATAATCGCAACTGTTGTCACAGTTTTGATGCGTGTTAGTTGGTGTTAGCAGTGTTGATGTTAGTAGCGTTCAGAATGTGATTAGTGACCGAAAAGTGTTTCTATTTTGTGCTCAATTGTCTAATCGTTGAATCTTTAATCTTACCGGAGGTTGACCTTCCTTTGGTCCTTGATTTGTTGCTAAGAGTTGAATGTGAACTGGATAAAGACTTAGAACTACTGTGGAAGATGGATGGAGCCGAATTGGCTGAATGATGGTGAAGATGGTGGGGATGATGAGGGAATCCATATGAAGGCGATGAAAGGTCAGTTGAACTTGGTGATGAACTTGCTGGACCGTTGCTACTGCTGTTGCTACCATAATAACTGGTATGATGACTGGATAGAGGATGGTGAGGATGAGAGGTGAGATGAGCTGGATGATTGTAGGATGAGATGGAAGATGATGATGGATGAAGTGGACTTGATGGATTAAAGGTGGATGAAGATGAACCATTAGTGCTATTTGCATTATTATTACCTTCACGGGGTTTGTTTAGGCTACTATTGATACCATTTGTATTACTAGAACTACTTGTTCCACTTGCCACTGATGACACTTCAACATTACTATTTGAATTGTTATTTCCACCTTGATTATTATTACTATTATTATTGGTATTATTATTATTTCCTCCTGATCGACCCTTGCTTCGCGATTCAAGAGATGAATGTGAATTTGAAGACTTAGAGATGTGTAACATTGATGGAGCTGAAGAAACACTAACAGTACCTGAGTTCAAATTGGAGCTGCTCAGGTGATTAGAGCTGGCCAGGGGTGCCTAAAGGTAACAGATTATTAGATTTTTTTGTCTTTTTTTTCTTCTTTTCTCTTGTTCTTTACCTGAAATTGAAGTCTTCCCGAGATTGAGTTATTACAATGCGATGAATGGTAAGGATTATCATCAGAGTTACAGTTGCTGGATCCAGAAGCCCATGAAGGTGAAGCTCTGAGTCCTGAATTGTCTGAATCTGAGGAAACATATTGTCCTCTGTATAAACCAATGTATGGATTCTGTTGGTTTCCCGAGTTGGAATAAGGTGGTCCAGTGACAAAATTTTGAAACATTTTCCTGTATCACCTTATTGGATCAATTCAACTTGAGATGAAATTCAAGGTGAGATATCAATCCAATGAAATTAACAACAGCATAAGAACTAAATGAACAAAAGATAAATGATGAAAAATAAAAAACAATTACACAAACGTCACTTTGGATTTCACTTGGTTATGACGTTTAATGAGCTTTTGATTGAATCGATTAATCCCGGGGATGAAACTGGTTCAATTGTCACAAAATATGCACACTGATAAGATTCTTGTTGATCAATAAAAGCGATGAGAGATTCTTGTTGATATCAAGATGTTGAGGTAGTAAAAGGTTGAGAGATGATTAAAGATGAAGATGAAGATAGAATGAGAAAAAAAGGCCGAATAAACACGGGATTTTGGTCTCTTATTTAAAGATAACGAGAGACAAAAAAAGAGAGAGAGATTTATAAGATTTGGTTGTTCACTTGATTTGAAGGAAAGTAATTGTCAAACTGATGTTACATGAGCTTGTTACATGTTGGAAAGAGTGGAATGAGAGAGAGAACTGGGCGGAGTTGAGTGGCAATGATAGCGACTCGGTATTGGCTGGAAATGTTTAAATGGGACGAACCAAGAAACTGTTATCATCCAATCAATGATAAGCCTAAAGATTGAAAAGCAAAGGCAAAAGATATTGTTAGTTGGCTTTGTGTGTTTACTTGTTGTTCAAGTGTGCAGTGATTTTCATCATCAGGATAGATAAATGATGGAGACTGGAATCAGATTTGAGGAGTGGAATCAGATGATGATGATGATGATGGAGGCGTAGGAGAGGAAAGGGAAAAAGAAAGAGAAGAAAGATTATGAATGATACGCCTTTGAAATGGGCAAGTTACTGATAAGATGGAAAGCCAAGTATCGCTGAGCAAACTCAATTTCAGCTCTTTTCTCCATTCTTTTGCGTTCTTTTCATGTTTACATGTTTTCATCTAATCAATTGTGGATACATTTTTTGGCTCAAATTCACAATTATTTTGGTAAAAATGAAACAAGAAAAAGATGTTCTTTTGTTGGCCAAAATGTTTAATTTTGCTCATTTAATTTTAAAAGTATCAATTCTTTATGCTCATTTCATTATCATCTGCGCAAAATGAGATTTTTTCACAAATAAATTGTTCATTAAATGTTGATTTTCAATTATTTTCAACAAGAAGTTGAGATTTGGTTTTAAAAAATAGATTATTTTTTCGATATAAAATGTGCCGTTCATCTGCGCAAAATGAAAGACTAGATGAAACTTACAATGTTAGTCGTTGATTCATGTCGTGATCAATGACTTTTCAAGTTTTCTTGTTACAATAATAATGCAAAAAAACTCAATGATTTCAACTTTGAATAGCTTTTAACAGCTTTGCGATAACCTCATGATTGATGGAATCTTTGATCAAACATTTTTATTCAAAATCATGCAATACTGTGAATAGTGTTAGACGTTCATGAAAATTTTATCTTGATCGAGCGATCCTTTGATCAAAAAATAAAGAAAGAGAAAACGCAAAAAATTTCTTAAGAGTAGAGACTTGGTGAGTTTGAGACATAAAAACTGAGTTGAGCTGAAAAATTCCTCAAGTCGACAGTTTTCGAGAAAATCGAGTTGAAACTTCGATCGCCTTTGTGGAACCAGATTTTTTTACTAAAATGATTTTGCTAATTAGTAGATCAACTGCTACATTAAAGCATCTTAAAGGAGCTTTTTGTACCTTTTTTCAGTTAAAACTTTGATCGATTTACATCGAAAGATCGATCAAAATCAGTTCATGAATAACTGTAATTTAAAGTCAATTTTTGTCACAGTTTTAAACTTCCTTAGTTACTCAGTTTTACCGTTAATGATTAAATGTTTGCCAATGTTGAATATTTTTTGTTGTTTTTGGTTAACATGAGATGTTGATTGTTGATGTTGATGAATATTGTTTTTGATCATTTTGTTTGCTGAGATTGAAAAGTTAATTGCAGAGTCGAGTTTTGTTTGTTGATTCAAAAGGAAATCATCTTTGACTGAAATATTTAAATAATAACTATGCTCTTAACTGTTCCCATGATGAAGTTAAGGATGAGCTTATTTGAATAATAAGCAGACCGAGAGTCCGTTTCCGTCATCATCTTCGTCTTGAAAAGTCCCTTTACTTGTAAAAGATGCTTTTGTCTTGCAAACTCTTGTAATGACCTGACTAGTTATTATAATGAGAATAAAGGAGAAACTGAAAACTCGCCAAACTTTTCATTTTATGCAAAAATGAATAACTCGACAGAGTAAAGACGACGAAGAGACACATGGAACCATTCAAATTAACTGATCACAATCTATTTTGTGGTAAAACTAAATTAATAAATTGTTGGTAAAAACAAATTCCAGCGACTAATTTCCTTCATTTTCCTCTTTTACCCTAAATCATTAAGAATAATAATTAACATGAAAATTTTGGTTCCACTGATGAAGTAAACTGAGCAAAGATTTATCTCATTATTAATTATCACATTATTCAATCAGAATATTGATATTTAATCAGATTAAATGAACCTTTTGGAACAAAAAAAAGAGAGAAAAAAATGTTAAATTCGATAAACAATGTTGAACCGATTCTTTTGAATGTTAGTTACGCATGAATTTCATTTAATAATCTCCTTTATTGAGCATGATTCTTCTCGGTTCACTTGTTATAATCATGTAACAATCGATTATCGATGAAGATATAACAACAATACCTTTTGTAGGTGAAATGGCAATGTTAATTTGCAATCTAAAATTGCTTCTTTGATCCACTTTGATTCGCCTTTCGATAACCAATCAACCATTTAGTGATAACTTAATAACATTGAAACATGTCCAATAATAGACCATATCTGATCAATTCATTTCATCGATTATTGACAGAAAATTGAAAACCCGAAAAAGCACATTTTTACACTCAAACAATATCGAAATTAGTTTATTGATTAATAATATTGAAAACGCATTTCTCGATTCAAATAAAATCGACTTTGGAAAAGGTTAAAACTCGTTAAGAACACTTATTAAGAACAAAAAATGGGAAAAGTCGAAAAAGTCGTTTTTGAAAATTCAAAAATATTGACATTAACTTATAAAAAAGGTTGCAATTGAAAAATGGAAACCTAAAAACTCGTTTGGACATTAAAAGGTTAAAATTTGTTGATTAATTGTTCGTTTTAATTGATGATTTCATGTTTTTTACTTTGTCTTGTTACTGATAAGGAACATGGAAAATGAATGTCAATGTTATCATGTTAATGAAAATGGAAATCGTAATTTGTTGACATTTAAAGTGAATCAATATTGGCCGTTCAAGTCCAACAATTATCAGTTGAATCGTCATCAAGATAAATTGTAATATTGTAATGTGATATTTGAATGATGTTGAATGATGAAGACGATGAATGGCTTAATTAGTTGAAATGAATGGCAAAATGATTTCAACTGGAGACAAGATAAAGATGGAAGAAGAAGAAGAGAAGAGAAGAAGAAGAGGAAAAGTAAACCAAGTGGAAAGTAAAGATGATTTGGGAAGATAGAGATGGATATACAGGGTGGACAAGTTATCATCTGGAATCACCTTTCAATGACATTTATGGGTTTACCTGAGACATTATTTTTGCGTTTCCCTTGTTGACCAGTCACAAGAAGAATCAAGAGTTTGCTCTGTAATTAACGATTGTAAGTGGGAAGATTTGGATGACGATTCGGAGGATGATGAGGTTGATGATGAAGAAGATGGTGAACGAGAGTATTCTTATCTTTCCATTGATAATGAGCCAATGAAGCCGTAAATCTTGGTCATTATAAAATGACCTTTACCTGGATCTGGATAAACATTTTTCCAGATAATACTCTTGACTAATTAGGTAACCATTGGTAACAAAATGTATTACCTTTACATTGAGTCAACTTTTTTTACTTTCATTTTGTTTCTCCATTTAATTGGCTTAATTGTTTTACTCTAATCAATTGTTAATTGTACCTTTCAGTTTATCGTCCTTCTTTATGATTGTGTCACAATCAATTAAATTGCTTTAATTTATTACAAGGAAACATTTTTAGTAACAATGATTAACTAAAAATTTGATTGCGGCAAAAGTTTAATGACCACTGGATTAGACAATCAAACTAATTGAAACATTGAAAAATATCGATGAGTTGACCTTTCATTTCATTTATCAGATAATCTATTAATTCATGAGTTTATGATTATTTTGTTTAACAAAGTTGATGTGATTCTAATGATTATTTCAAGTTCAAAGGCTTATTGAAATCTTTCATTGGACATTTGCTAGCAAAGTTTGCTTTCAATTCATGAAAATGAATCTTGGACAGGATCGTGCATTTCTCGAAATGAAACTGTTTCTAATCGAAAAGTGCATGTTCAGTTGGTCACAGTTGATTGAAAATGAAAATACATTCGACTGTTCTAATCGTTCCTTTCAAGTCAAAATGTTACCTTTTAAAGTTTTTTAACCGCCATCTATTGTTCAAAAATTTGTCTTCTTTCCTTTTCTTCTTCTTCTGTTCATTTCATTCTGAGTTTACTGACAAGTATAAATGAATAATGAGCGAATTATAAATGACAATTTTCGATTCCTAATTGTGATATTGTCCCTCGATGAAGGTCAATTTTTGATTCTTTAACATTTGTCCCTGAATTCTGTCGAAATGCATATTAAAATATTTAAACAGCTAAATATGTTTGTTGATCTTTTCCCTCAGAATCATTATCATGCCTTCATAATGCAAGAAAATCATATGTTTGAAAACAGTTAAAAATTGAGGTTACACATGAAAATCTTGTGAGTTAATCAAATGATAAATAGATTTGATTCGTTCTCTTAATAAAAATTTCATTTCAATTTTCCAAAGTGGATAATGAATGATCTATGTGATGATTATTCAAATGAGTAAAAATTGCCTTGAAAATGATCATTCATTTATCATCACTTATGAGATTAATGCCATTCTGTTTCAAACAAAAGCTTATTTTACATTTCATTTGCTGAACAATTACAAGTTGATTTCAAAAATAGGTGTGATTACCAACAATTACCATGCGAATGGCAAGGATTTGATAATAAAACTTTTACTAAAGATTCTCATTTGTTCCTCTTAACCCATGTAAACACAATATGCACTTGAATCACATCCAGCTGTGAACTTTATTCACCAAAATAGACTAACATTACTTTATTTAGAAATCTGTAAAATCTTTCAGATATTCAGATATGAAGTTATCTCATGTCCTGTCATCAAGCATAGATTTTAATCAAAAATGAAATTTGACAATAAATTTCAAGCAAACCAACAAGCAGCTACTTTTCACTGTAGAGTTGAAATTGCATGTTAGTTTGAGTATTCAATTTCATTGCCTTCCAAGTCCCAAGAATGATGTAACGTCTACAAAGGAAAAGAACGTCTTGCAATTTCGATGAAACACTCCTCCTCACTATCGCCATCATCATCCCAATCATCACCAACCTTCACTATCACTGCCCATCTTGTTATCAGATAATTGTTGCTTTACCTTGCGGGCAGCAAAGGGCAGTTAAGGTCACTCAATGGTAACTTCCATGGATCTTCATCATTTTCATCTCTTGTTAACTTAATTGTTAACATTTAATT